TTAAAACTTAAAAATGAAGGGAGGGAGCAATTTAACTCTAAATCTATTTTGCATGCCGGAGCCCGAAAGGCGTATTTCATAGTAAGTATTTCTATGTTGAGATGTACCTGCTTTACAGACATAATACCGTTGGATGTATCAAAATGGTTGTGATAAATCGTACTCCAATTAACTACTTCCCAAGACCAAAATCTTTATGTAAGAATTCGATGGAGGATAAAAAAGTGGTACAGATACTCAATGCAAGAAGCCATCCAGACTGGTGATCAAAAAAACGAAAGAAGCGAACCCAATACTAACATAGTACTAGTATTTTCATGGCTTTTTTTTTTTTTTTTTTAAATTTGGTGGGCTCAATTGGATAGGGTCGGTTGGCGTGCCATTTCTAAGCCCGACATGCAAGTCCCTTCTCTCTGTCCAGTGTTCGATTAAAGGTCAATCATGGGCCCCCATTTCTCCTTCCAGAACAAAAATATCTGTTACCAATTCCATTTTCGTCTTCATGAATCTTTTTCAACAGTCTCTCTCGTGGTCCTTTTAAAGTTCTTGAAATGCCATTTTCACACGCCAGGGATGAAAAAAAGCATCACCACTTTTAATCATGACCGCCACCACCATTAACCATTCTCCCACCCTCCCTCTCTCCCTCTGCCACCGCCCCACCCATCACGGCTTCAATCATTTATTCACCCAATTTTTTTTTTTTCAAACAAAATTCTGCATAAAGCTAACCATAACTTAATCACCTTAACTCCCCCAAAGTTTTACTTTTGAGTGGTTCCAGATTTCAAATTAGTAAAACAATAATATGTAATCAACTTAGTCAAAGTTAATCAAATCAGACTAAAGCAACCTAATACCAGCCCAACAAAAAGTTACTGCAGTGGAATGTAATCGAAAACAAATCCTATGACCTTAAACAAATGACCCCAAAAAAAAAAAAAAAAAGGAAAAGGCTAATTAGACAAGCATGCGCGTTGGCAGACCAGCACTCTTGATTCTATGCTTCATCAACTACAGCAGCAGCAGCAGCTTCTAGCGAAAGCTGCTTTAACCATTCAAACGTACGATGACGTGACAAGGCCTGCTTTCCTGTTTGTTGCTGATCATGCTGCCGTGTCGTCCTCGTCAGACTCTCCGTCTCTTCTTCTTTTGCATGGGCCTCGTTTGCACCAGCACTTCTCCTCATGCCATTCTCCGCAACCCTCGAATGAATTGGTCCGACCACTGCATTTGACGAACATTTGCAGCCGCTGAAGAACACAACCCCGTTTTTATCGAGGAATTTGTGCCTCTTCTTGATCTTGTCCTTTTCCTCAGCTTTGATTCTGCCGGCGCTACCGCTGCTAATGGTACTGCTTGTGCTATTGCGACTGCCGAAACCGGCGTTCTTACTGTTGTTTCGAAATTTGAGGTCTTGAATTGCAATCTCTGGAGCTGTCACCAACCCGACCCGGAAAATGCTCCACAGTGTCGAATTTCGGCTGGAATTCATCCCATTCTTGATGCTATTTGAGGAACGAATTTGGGGTTTGGGACTGGGGTGCGAAAATTGGAAGTGGTTACGAGTTTTGGGTCTAGGCGTGCGATTAATGCACGAGGAGCCCGTCCCCGTCGTGGTGGAAGTGGAACTAGTTGTACCACTGCTCGAGGAATGGTGACTATTTAAACTGCTACTTCTACTGCTCAGACTCGTGAAGCCAACCGAATAACAGCGATCCATGGACTCGGACCTGGAAATGCACCTGCTCGTTGTCCGGCTGTCATTTTGCAATTTGGTGATCAAGCCGCTTTCGGAACTGACCGAGTGGCGCAGAGGAAGAATTTGGCCCTGGAAAAAGACTTCATCAGCTATACACATTTCTGATTCTTTCGACAGAGAATCAGTGGCCAGGGAGGAGCAGAAATTGAATTCCTCTTGAGAATCATGAATGATGATGGGTACTGGAGATTCTTTTCTTGATGCTAAGAACTGATTCTCTTCATTGGTGGGAAGGTCAGAAAAAGACAATGCTTCTTCATCTTCCTCCTCTCTTTCCACAACATGACTATTGCCAACGGGATTGGAATGTCTCCTTGTTTCATCAGCATCAGCGTCGTTTCCACCCATCTCCAAATTTGAACAAAGTCAGCAGCAAATTATGTTGAGATGCAAATTAAAGACGGAAGGAAGAGGACCAACTGGAGGGCAAGGAAGTAAGAAGGAAGAGAAAACTGAAATACTCTACTGCTGGTCTAAAACAACATGAGTGGAGCAGGGGAACAAATTTATGTAATGTTTTCTTGTTTGGAGGAGAGGAGAGGAGAAGGGGAGGGAAGGGAGAGAAAAGTGTTGTTAGCGAAGGATACAAATAGAGCCGGCCTTTTTCGCGGGCGTGGCTCGGTTCCTTTGCTCTCTCTTCGCTTTCAAATGATTAGGTGAGAGAACAACAGCATCTGCGTTTTCATTCGGTCTTGTGGCCTTGGAGAGAAGAAGTAGGGACACTATCTTTGTAAAAATCGACATTCTATATAATTAGCACGCTAGATGGATGGATGCAGTGACATATTAAAAATGTACAAAATTTTGAGAGATTTCCAGGTGAGGGTGGAATTTAAATGATTGAAGCAAAAGTAAAGAGAGATAATTAGATAGGCTGTCAATTCCAGATTTTGTTGGGTATTTGTCCCATTTGAGCGGGAGAGGGACAGAAACATCTACTTCATGAATGCTAATAATAATATAATATCTTTTCTTCATTTGTTTTTTCTCAGCCTACTGCCTACCCAAACCAAATGTTGCTTGATCCGCATCGTGCTTTGAAAATCTCATCCATTTATTGGTGCGTAGGAAAGATTCAAGAAGATTTGCGTTGCGGAGGTAAGAGAATGAGAGAATATTTCATTCTACAAACTGCCTGCAAATTATATATGAAAGGTCTCGAGTCGGCTGCTTTAATTAAAGAGACGGGAGTTTTGTGGTACTCGAATATTTTTTTGCTGGAACTTTTTGAATTTTATTTCATGGGAAGCCTGTGAGTGAGCCATTACTTTATAACTTTCCTTCTTGTTTATCGTTGCCCAGATCTCAGGCAATGAATAACCAAGAATCATTCTAGAGGTAAAACAATAATCAGGCCGCTTGGGTTGGGGAACCTTCCTTCCGTTGATTTGTTTTTCTAATGCTCCGGACGTTTTTTTTTTTTTAATCAATTTCTGGTAAAGAATCAAGGGGAATATATGATGAGCTATTCTGCATAACATTCATGCCGGATTTCCTGTCTATCTATAGTACGTAGAACCGTACGGGGAGGGAAGCTAAAGTCTAGCATCAAGAACCCTCGAGAAGTCGCAAATTTTCTTAAAGGAAGGTAAGAGCCCGATTGATTGAATCGTGAGCTTTTGTATAAAAACTTTGAAATGTACTATTTTCAGACATTTCAAGTCTTTTTTTTTTTTCTAATAAAAACTCCAACCACTTACTTACAATATTCAATATATGCTCCAAGTTTGGATCATGTAGTACCAATTGAACTTCGAGAAGAGGCAACAAAGAATTGATCGTTCGCTGTTTTGTACCAATTAAAAGCGTCTCCTTGTAAATTCCTTCTCTTCACATGTAAATTAACCGCAACTTCGTGATTAACCGGACTGGTAGGTATCCGCTTCATTTTCGTAGGGATTTTCAGTGTCACTTTTCTAGTATCACTTTTATATTTATGTCAAATGTCTTATTTATTTAACTTGTCATGTATTATTTATTTAAATTTTTTCTATTATTACGTGATGATAAGTGAGATTCATACTGAATTTGACGTAAAATGCAATGTGAGGCTGGCTATTAATTATCCGTAACTTGGTTGGGGGTAATGCTCTCATTTTCCTTCTTTTTCCCATTTTACAAAGACGTGATCCCTGACGCAGACCAAAAAGAGAAAAGCCACAGAGGGCACTCACTACCATTTTTAAAGGGACACACCTAAATATGTAATGTGGATGAGTGATCCATACAATGCCACCAAGTTTAAGTGTTGAGCTCACATGATTCCTGGGCATGGCGGTGGGCCTGGGCCAATAGATTTCTTTCTGATTCAAGTCGTGATCCACCCAGTTGTCTTGTCATCCACGGTCCTTGAAGAAAATCAATACCATTTCCCCTTTTTTGATTGTCTTTCCCTTCTCAGGAGAAATAGGGGCGGTAAAACGTAACTCTGATATCCACAAAAGGATTGAGATCGAGAGCTTGCGTTCCACTGGAGGTGCGCTCAATCCTCACCTCTCAATGTGCCCTTCTATTCCATGGAGCCACCCCATCCCCTCTAATAATAATCCGTCTTTGAGATAAGAAAGATTGCCATCTTTATTTCCGTTTTTGTGTCTCATGCTGTCAACATTTTAAGCAGTAAAAAGTAATGCATGGATTTTAAAAAGTTAAAGTGGAGTAATTGTCACCCTTCTTTTTTACTATTAACTTTTAATTAGTCATTTCAATTGTATGTTATGTTGCAGCCTTCTAAATTGACAATAATACTCCTAATGCGCTACACGTCATCTTCAGTTATCCTCTCAATCGCCCCTCCTTCAATTCAAATAAATGCCGTACCAAATATAGGTTCGTTTGACAAGTGTGTTTTTTTAGGTGTTTGTCTAAAATTTTATGTAACTTTACTGTAAAAGTTATAAAAAATTTTTAAAGTTTGTAAATTTTTGAATATTTTGAAATATACAGTTTAAAAATTTTGAAAAATTTTTTGAGATTACTGTAACTAAAATTATTTAAAAAATTTGTAGCAAACAAACTTGACCAAAAAACTTGCTTACCAAACAAGGTTATACTTCCAAGGAGAAGAAAACAGTTAACGACCCTCCCCCAACAAAAAAAAAAAGGAACAAACCCAAAAAGAAAAAAAAGACTAAATCTTTCTTATATTATAGAGCAACCATGAAAAGAAAAAAGAAAAAAAAATCTAGCTAAGGCTATGTCGTTTCAAAATATGCAACGTAGTTGCGGGCACCGTGAATTGAAGCGAGAACATCTTAAATTAATCAAGTAACGTTAGTTTCCGCTTAATAACGCGACAGCAAAGAGAATTCAAGACCTAAGAAATAAGTGTTGAGAAAAATTCTGCTAATAAAAGAGAAAAGGTCCAACTCCAACTAGACTAAGGGACGGCGTGGCGGTTGACGACATTAATGGTGGAAGAAAGCTGAGCAGCAGGGGGTATAGCATCCCCGGTAGGAGCATCAACAGAAGCAGAAGCACCGCGACCAGGTTGAGGTTGGAGGTGTCCCTGGGTCCCATACCCCTGCTGCTTGTAATCCTCCAAGTCCTTGTACTGCGTGTAGGGACTAGTATTCACCGGCAGCCCTTCCAACTTCCCTCCCTTCTCTTCCTTGTCTTTCCTCTCCATTTTGCCCTCCACCTTTATTATTATCACTTCTATCTGCCAAAAAAAAAAATTTACTTTTTTCTGTCGAATTTTTCCGGGCTTCAGATTGATATAGCTGATCAGTAGGTGGATTGTTCTTTGATTGATTTTGTGAATTCGAGGAATTCGTATTATATGATTTCTCCATTTCGGTCTGCGGTTGCCACGAGTCATTGACGTGTTAGCTGTTGAGGAAAGGGAGGCTAGGGTCATGTTGAGCCGCAAATTCCACCGGGGGAATGCTTCTTGGTCTTTGCATCTGCACTAGTCCGAGCATTTGGTTTGGACATTAACCCAAATTTTCGGGGCTCCTGAAACGTACTTGTATGGATTTCTGTATCTGGCCCAAAAATACAGAGAGGTGTTTGCGGCTGTTTCAGGGTTTCGTCCGTATCATTTTGGGCCCTGTTATTTCCTGTTTGGAATATATCCAAAGACCAAAATCCACCCCCCACCCCAAAAAAAAAACGTAGAATACACAGAACAAGAGGGAAATGACAGCCACTTTAAATGCTCGGAACTTTCTCCTGCAATGCTACAATTATTACTGCATTTTTCTAGTACTTCTTTTTGTTCCGTAAAAGATAAAATGCAATAAAGAGGAACAGGATAGATCCCACAAATTAATTTGTTGAATTCGTTTCAAAGGAGGGAGAAGCAATGAGGAGCGGGCTCAATTCTTTATTGACATTATCATGCCAGCTTCAGCCCACATCGTTTTGTTTCTCTCTCCTTCGTGCCCAGTAAAAGACAAGATTCAAGTCACCATGATTGTGATCCTTTTGTTTTTATGATCATCCTTCATGCTAGTGCATACTCTTATCTGCTTCTATAGAAAAATAGACTAGTTCCTAATTACTAGTTCTACTTCTGCAACTAAGTAATTACTAGTAATTAGTGTGCCGTGACCCCATGAACCCCATCCAATAATCGTGTGGTAATCGCATCCACAATTTCAGATGATGAAGTCCCTTTCGGCTTTCCATTGAAAATTATATCGCACCAGAATCCAAAATGAATCTTCCAAACCAATATCTACCGTCCAATCAAATTGTTACAATATCTTTTTCAAGTTTATGCAGTTCCAAACCTCCAATGTCAAAATACACACTGCTGTCATGTTATTTTCCTTGACGTCGTTTTAAGATTTGTGAAAATATTGGAATCAAATGCATGTACAGTTTGGCAGACAAACGGAATGATAGATGCAGACTTTCAAGAAATTCTCTGTTTGGACAGAGTGTTATTTGAAATAATTACTGTATTACTTTTTATAACGTGATGTATGTGAGATAAAAAAATGAGTTAAAAAATATGTCTATAATGCAAGTAAAATATTATTTAAAAAAAGGGTATCCAAACAATTCATTTTTATTTTTCGATCGATAAACGTTGAAGTGAAAAAAAAAAAAAAAAAAAAACAACTGTACACCTTCCCGGTTTATACTTGTGATGATGATGCAAAGTTTGCTACCTCCCGCAGAACAACATCAAATCAAACTGTAATAAATGCGCAAAACAAAGAGAATTTATAATCATAACTTAACAGAAACTAGTAAAACGAACTAGGCTCACAGCCCCTTTGAGCAAAGCCTAGCAATTCACCATTCATGTAACCTGTGCTGTCCTCTTTTTAGTCTCTAGCTTATATCCAGCTAATGACCACAGGGCTCCCCACAACATGTTTCCCATCTGACCACTCTATTCTACCAAACTCGTTAGTATTAGATGGCATTGAAGTTGCACTGAACGTCACCGTATACGACTTCTTCTCGTATGCTTTTGTGAAAGTTAATGTATCGGGTTCCACCGTAATCTTAACTGCTGGACTTGTCGTCGAGATTGAAACCTTGTACGTACTTCCTCCGGAGCCTCCCCCAACGTTGGTAAGCGTCCTCGTGTGCTTAACTACGCTCTTGCTCCCGCCGCCGCTGCTGGAACCACCGCCACCCCCAATCACTTGAGTCTGCAGCGACACCGAAAATGAAGGGTAGTTGAAATCCCCGATGCTGTAGGTTTTACCGGCACCACAGCTGTAATTCCGCCTGGCGACGCCTTGAATTTGCATGGACGTGTAATTTAATGCGCATAGGAAATTGAGATAATCCTCGGTGGTCAGATCATAGACGAGTCCCGGGTTGAGGGCTGCGACGGGGTTCACATGCCCTGCTCCATGATCGTACGGTGTCGATGCCTTTCCGGTGGAGACATCTATCAGCTTCTTACCGCCGTTTTTGTAAGCGGTGTAGGCCGTGGTCATGAGAGCCGAGCGGATGGCGGCTGGGCTCCAGTCTGGGTGCGCCCCCTTGACAAACGCCGCCAAGCCGCTCACGTGTGGGCACGACATTGAGGTGCCGGAGATTATGTTGAACTCCACGCGCCTCGGGTCCTCTGCCAATCCGGTGGGGCCCACCGCCCCGGTCCACCCTGCTATTATATTCACACCTGGAGCTATCAGGTCCGGCTTCAAGATATCAGGGGTGATTGCATTTGGTCCCCTCGAGCTAAATGCAGCTACCACCGGCGACGGTTCGATCCCCACCTTTGTGCCCTCAAAAAGAATCGTCGCCGTTGGATTAGCATCCGACAATACATAATCTCTAATCGCGTCTCCTGATTTCTGACCCACTGTGCTGGCCGGGAGCAAATGGGCATCCGCCACCAGCTCCTCACCGTTGGCGGCGGTATTGGCCAAAACCATCCCGGCCCCACCAGCTCCTTTCACCACAGCGCCCTTTTGGACCCTAGGATTGATCCCACGGTCGCACAGGACAATTTTACCCTTAACTTTCTCAGGGATTAACGTGCCGGTCATGCAGAGATTCCCATTGGTGGAATTGCTAGCGTTCCCTGCATAGACAAAAGGCAGCAGCTTAGCGGGCAACGAGTCACCTTTGTAAAGCGAAACTCCAGAGAAATTCTGGCCGTTGCCCAGGCTGACATACGCCGGGAAGTCTCGGTCCAAAGTTCCGGCACCTACGGTGGTAATCCAGGGTGCCAAGTTGGACAGAGTATAAGCACTGGGTCCCGCATTTCCAGCTGAACAGGACACGAAAATTCCCTTCTCCATTGCTGAAAATGCTCCAATAGCAACACTGTCTCTGTAGTAGTCGGCGGTGCCGCCGCCCAGAGACAAAGACAAGATATTTACATTGTCTGCGATGGCCCCGTCTATGGCGGCCAATATATCCGAGCTAAAGCAGCCCCCAATCCAGCAAACTTTGTATACAGCAACTCTGGCACGATGGGCCATCCCACGAGCCGAACCGGATGCATACCCGAAAAGGCTAGCTCCGCCTACGATTGCTCCAGCAGCCGTGGTGGACGTGTGGGTGCCGTGGCCGTCGTCGTCTCTAGGAGATTTTGATTCTTTCGTAACATCAATTGGGCCGAGAGTCGCCTCATAGCCGGTTGAAAAATACCTCGCTCCAATCAACTTCTTATTGCAATGATTGGAAGTGAAGTTGGTCCCCGTCTCACAAGCTCCTTTCCAAGAAGCAGGTACGGGCCCCATCCCGGTGTCATCGAAGCTCTTGCTTTCGGGCCAGACGCCGGTGTCTAAGACGGCGACGATGACATCACTTTCCGAATCTGACTCCGGGAACAAGTTAGCACTCTGTTCGAGTCCTAAAAACGTAGGAGTGCGAGTTGTGTGGAGCTCGTACTTAACCTCTGGCAAAACATAGAGGATTCCAGGTTGATCCTGGAGGGATTTGGCTTCTTGGGCTGTAAGTCTAGTGGCGAACCCGTGAATCGCGTTGTTGTAAGTGTACAACATCTCCGCTGATTCGGAAACCGATTTCAGCGACGAGTCGTACCAGCGAGTATGGTCATCGAAACTCGCTGGCATTTGGGATTTCGCCACATGAATTATGTAGGTATTCTTTTTCTGCTGTACAGCGGATGCTGCCACGGAGACACGGCAGACACCCAGAAACACAAGAAAAGTCACTACTAGAAACAATCTCGAGAACTTAAGATCTCCCATATTTTCGTTTGTGGGTTGGCAAGAGAAGAATGGAGGAGGAGGGATCGAGAGAGTTATATAGAGTGGGCTTAGTGGAGGTGTGAAGCTGAATTCATGCACAAACAGAGGCTTGGGAGAGCTCAGTGAAGGACAATTGGGTGATGAGTGGGGACGGTGGACCTTTGTCTAGTTATGGATATGATTGCAAGGACACGCACAAACAAAAACAAAAGGAGATCAAGCCAGCTCTCCAGCTACTAGCTAAGGAGCGAGAATGAATGAGTGAGTGATCGAAGAGAAAGGGAAATGACTGATATAGTGATATCATGAATATATGAATTGTTTCATCATTTGGGTAATATAGTACTTACCAGTTGAGAGAACTATTACTTGCTGGAGCGCAGCAGTAGGAGCATATTATTAGCTCTTGGTCTCTGTCACGTGTGTGCAGGGGTTGTGTTGATCGATAATTGATGCTCTTTCACTCATTTAGCCTGTCAGTAGTACTGATCCTAAATGGAGAATTCCTTTCTCCTTTTTTTTTTAATCTTTAATAGTGCTTTTTCTAAGTCTGTTGCAGAATGCAGAAGAAAGAGAAGACAGTGGGAGATAGGTGGAAAAATAAAGCAGGTCTTTGAATTCGCTACTGCGAGCCATGGGAACAAGGAAGTAATGCCCACACTATTCTGTTTTCCACGCTTTATTTACTTGCATTTGACCATTGCTGCAAACACTGGGCCATAGCCAGTTGCCAGTGCCAGTAGTCCAATTGAAGATGATAAATTTCTTCACCAACATCGTCTTCCATTGGTCTTTTTCTTTTTCTTTTTCTTTTTTTGTTTTGTCGCTAGCCGACCGAAAACACGGTGGAAGAAAGCCACTAAAAATGACAAATCATAAATAACAATCAGTGAAAATTAAGGTTTGAATTCTTAATCTTTCATCAATAATTAATACTTTTTAAGTCTTGATAGTAATCAAGAGACCAAATGGCTGTTAGCGTCTTTCATTGGTCAATGGAGGTTATTATACTCTTTTTGTCTTTCTTGATTGGTGAATCAGGGGATAGTAACAGTAACACTTAATAATCCCTGGGGGTGGGTTGGGGGGTAGGATTCTTAATGACAAGTGAGTTTTTTAGGTGTTTGTGTAAAACTTTAATGTAATTTATTGTACAAGTTGTAGGAAAAAATTTTAAAATATGTAAATTTTTTTTTTTATATATTTTAAAGTATATAGTTTAAAAATTTTGAAAAGTTTTTTGATATTATTATAAATAAAATTATTAAAAAAACTTGTAACAGATAAATTTGACCAAAAACTTACTTGTCAAACATGTTCTGGTTCCTGTGTGAAAAAGGTAGCAGTATACTACAACAAGAAGGCCAAATAATAAGAAGCAAAGCGGGTAAAACTAGTAGAACTACAATAAAAAATAGGGTTAAAAACAAAAAAGCCCCCTGTGATAAGCCTAATACAC